CTCTAGCCCTTACCTCTTCACAAAAGTCAAACTCTCATAGCCAATAGACCTCTTCATTCCTACTCCTCCCTGCTCTCAACTAATTAGTATGAACCAAAATCAAACAAAAATACCTTGTTTCTACCCTAGTCTTTCCCCATTTTACTAAACACTTGCTTGAGCAAAAAACCTAAGAGTCATCTATTAATTCCTGTTTGGACCACCATTAAAGATTTCTAAAATCTCTCTCTCTCTCTCTCTCAGACAACCCAGACAAATAAGGTCTCTGTTTCCTCTTTCCTTTTTACCTTTCAACTCCATAAAGAACAAAAATGATCCTGTTAAAATGTAAATGGATTTTCATTGCTACCCTACTTGAAGCATTCACACTCCTTATCTTGGCCTATGAAGTGGCCCCTACCTCCTTCTCCATCCTCACCTCACTTTTCTGCTTGCTTCATGTGCTTTAGCCACGCTGACCTTTCTCTAATGATGCCAAACCTGTCCCTACAGCTCAGGCTTTTATGTTTGCTATTCCTTCTGTCTCTAGGTGCTCTTTCCCTAGAATTTTGCCTTTCAGTGCTCAGTTCAGAGGATTTGTTTGACCATCCAAGTATGTAGAAGCAAATAATATTCCCTTCCTCTTTTCAGATGCCATGTACGTACTGTATTCCAATCATAGTTGTAAATGTGATGATACAACAGTTAATAAAAAAAAAACTGCCCTAACCGACGTGGCTCAGTGGACACAGCATCGGCCTGCGGACTGAAGGGTCCCAGGTTTGATTCCAGTCAAGGCATGTACCTTGGTTACAGGCACATCCCCAGTGGGAAGTGTGCAGGAGGCAGCTGATCGATGTTTCTCTCTCATCGATGTTTCTAACTCTCTATTCCTCTCCCTTCCTCTCTGTAAAAAATCAATAAAATATATTTTAAAAAAACAAAACCAAAATCCCATCTTTGTGGAACTTCATTCTATTTCTAGTTTGGGGTAAGTACAGCAAGTGAATAAATAAATGTGGAATACATAATATGTCCAATTGTATTAAGTACTTTGGAGAAAGAGCAGGGAGAGGATAGGGAGTGCTGGTAGGGAAAGTTTTAAATTTTCAGTAGAGTTGTCAGGGAAAGACTTGCTGAGGTGATACTTCAGCAGAGCCCTGAAGGTGGTGGGAGAGAAAGCCATTGACAGGAAAACAGTCCCCAGAGGGGGAAGCCAGAGCTAGGCAGTGGGAATCGTCTGGTGCTGTGGTCGGCAAACTGTGGCTCGCGAGCCACATGCGGCTCTTTGGCCCCTTGAGTATGGCTCTTCCACAAAATACCACGCGGGCGCGCACATACAGTGCGATTGAAACTTCGTGGTCCATGCGCAGAAGTTGATTTTTGGCCTGGGCGAGTCTATTTTGAAGAAGTACTGTTGATATTTGGCTCTGTTGACTAATTAGTTTGCTAACCACTGTTCTGGTGTGTTTGAGCAATAAGGAGTCATAGAAGAATGGAGAGTTGTAAGAGGGGGAGTGGTGGAGCAGGTATCTCTCTTAATCTAATATAAAGTTTATATGAAAGGCCTTTCCTCCCAAGCATCTTTTATGTATATAACAAACCCACAGTTCATCTGCAATTCTGAAATCCAAAAGGCTTAAAAAGAAAGAAAGAAAGAAAAAGAAAGAGGTGGAGCTCTGGCTGGGGTTGCTAATTGGTTAGAGCATTGGCCTGCTCAGTGAAGGGTCGTGAGTTTGATTCCCAGTCAAGGGCATGCACCTGGGTTTCTGTTTCCTCCCCATCCCAAGGTGGGGCACGTGGGGAAGGAAGGCAACCAGTCTGTATGTCTCTCTCCCACTGATGTTTCTCTTTCTCCTCCTCTCTCTCTCCCTCCTCAACCTCCCTGCCACACTCTGAAAAGTAAAGGGAAAAATATCCTCAGGTGAGGATTCAAAACAAAACAAAACAGGGTGGATAGTTTGTTCCTGGAGGAAGAAAGGCAAATAAAGAGGTTAGAGCAGGAAAAGCAGCAAGCATATTTGAAAGGACTGTATTTATGTTGGATGGAGATCTTATATGAAATGCAGTCTCAGGGTAAGGCAAAATCAAGCAATTTATGACACTAAAACTTCTTAATCTAGATAATAAAAATAGATCACTTCTGGCAATTTAGTATTTTAGAAATTAAAGTTCTTTATTTAAAAAAACAAGTTCAAATTCATATATTTTCATCACTTTCCCAGTGCAGATGTTGGGGGAGGGGGCACAGCCATCTACATGCTAGTTCTGTTAACATCTGCATGGATTCATAGAAACTTGCCTGTAGAAGCATATTTTTGTTCCTCATTTTGGGGCCAGATAGTGTACCCAGCCAGCACTGGGTTGGTAACACTGTATAATATTTGAATGGAATTAAAATAGGCTTTTTAAATTCTTTTTTTTTTCCTTTAGAATGTTTTTATTTTTTTTAATTGCTTAAAGTATTACAAAGGGTATTACATATGTGTCCATTTTTTCCCCCCGCCCTTGACAGTCCCCTATCCTCCCCTATCCCCCAGTGTCTTATGTCCATTGGTTATGCTTATATGCATACATACAAGTCCTTTGGTTGATCTCTTACCCCCCTCCCTCCTGCCCCCCAACCCTCCCCGGCCTTCCCGCTGCAGTTTGACAATCTGTTTGAGGCAGCTCTGCCTCTGTATCTATTATTGTTCAAAAGTTTATAATGGTCTCTATTATCCATGAATGAGTGAGATCATGTGGTATTTTTCCTTCATTGACTGGCTTATTTCACTTAGCATAATGCTCTCCAGTTCCATCCATGCCGTTGCAAATGGTAAGAGTTCCTTCCTTTTTACAGCAGCATAGTATTCCATCGTGTAGATGTACCACAGTTTTCTAATCCATTCATCTACTGATGGGCACTTAGGCTGTTTCCAGATCTTAGCTATGGTGAATTGTGCTGCTATGAACATAGGGGTGCATATATCCTTTCTGATTGGTGTTTCTGGTTTCTTGGGATATATTCCTAGAAGTGGGATCACAGGGTTAAATTCTTATAAATCCTTTTTTTGTATCCATTATTTTGGGACTATACTTATATATTAGCATTGCTATATATGATAATGGTAGTTTAATATGAATGTTAAGTTGATTCCACAGACCAACATCAGTTACTTCCTGAATAGAAAATTTTGGGATTTTAACTAAATTTAGTGAAAGAAAATCAGGATGATTTGTTTCTATGCTTTGGCAAAGACTGAATTAAAAATAACAATAAGGTAACCTTTTTCCTTTCTTTTTACAATTCTCCCAACCTATTTGTTGTAATAATAGGAGGGGGAGTCTAATAAGAGACAAGACTGTGTAGTTTGTCATTGCTTCCTTTTCATTACTGGTCAAGAATTCTATTTCTAAATAAAACTCACCAGGTTATGGTTCAGAATGACTGGCAGTTTCTTCCGGTCTCAGCTGAAGAACATTAACCTTTACTTTTAAAAAAGCATGGATTTGTATCTTCATAAACATCTATCAGCAGATGAGGATACTGCTTTATTCCTGTAAAATCTTAACTTTTCTCTGTAAATTAGGGTAAAATTATTTTGGAAGCATTAAAACATTGAACCTCCTCATGTGAGCAGAGTGGAAACAAAAACTTAAGGATAGGAAATCTAAGATGAAAGGAAGGATCCATTCTTATGTACTGTTATTATGAAAATGTAACTTTTCTCTCTCATATCCCTAATTGAACAGTAGTGTTTCTGAGACTCTATCCTCAAAGACCAGAGAGAAGCATGTTTTTTTCAGAGAGATGCATCCACTGGACTCATACGTCATCTTTCAAACGTCTATAATTAGCCCTTATTGTTTGGAATCGGGGATTTTAAGCGCTCTCATCCTTGGCTAAAAACATCAAAAATACTCTTTGGTTACGTATTTTTTAATATACTGAATTAGAATCCTTGAATCTATATTTTGAAAAGGTCCTATGGCGTAGATTATTCTGTTGTACCCAAAGATACGAAGCACTGAGCTATATAGCAGTGCAGACCTAACATAACAAAGTGTAGAAAGAAAACCCAGATACAAATCCACCTGACCCTCCTTAATAACTTGTACTCTGGCAATATGGCTATTGACTCATTGTGGAGTTTGGTAAAGGGTGGTCCATTTTGCATCCTTAAATAAACTTACCTGTTCCCTTTGTTCCAATTTTTACGAAATGAGTTCATAAAAGAAAAAGGCAGCAAGGAGCTTCCGAAGACCCTATCAGACTGCAAGAAAGAGGAAAGGCTTTGGAAGACACTATGAAAGTGTGAAGGTTTTGGTCAGTTACAGTGAGCACAGGAGGGTGCGGAGGAAAAGTCAGACATGATGAGTGGAGTTGTCCAACTGCGAGAACTGACAGCTATAGGTAATAGCCAGATCTGCGTATTTCTTTGCTGGATAAAATAGCAAATCTACCAAAAAGTGGGGGAAAAGGATATATGGTAGGTTTAAAATAAGTAACTGAATGAGACTACATAATTCCAGAAATAGGATTGTAATTTAGAACTAGAGGCATCCAGATTACTTAGCCTCTACAAGATAAGGTGTGCAAAGCTGGATAAACAATGAAACTAAGGATTCTAATGTGACCTCACCAATAAAGAACAGCCACAGGCAATAATATGAACAGCAAGTTGTTTATAACCATTTGTTTTAAGTGGGCTTCAGTATGCTACCTTATTTGAGTAACTGCTTTAAAATACAAGCTCATATCACATGGATTTATAGACATAAGGCATAAAGTTGATGCAATTTTGCTGTTTCTTAGGAATTAAAAAACGTGGATATAAAGTACAGCATAAGGAATATCGTCAATAATATTGTAATGATGTATGTATGGTGCCAGGTAGATACTAGAAATATCGGGGGGAACACTTTGTAAAGTACATGATTATCTAACCAGTATGCTGTACACCTGAAACTAATACAAAATAATATTGAGTAGAAACTGTATTTGAAAAAAAATTTAATAAATTAAAAATACACATCTGTTCTATTATATTCAAATAAACACTTTATTATCAAATAGTTCAGTATCAGAACAAGGTTTCTAGTTCCAAGAGTTTTCTTTACATAACATCATATTGTAAAACGTATTAGGAAGATCTGATACTATCCTATATCTCATTCCAGTTTTTATTTTGCAGTTGGGTAACTTGTTTTTGATCTAAAAAGTATAAATTTATCTCATTCTTCTTAATGCTGTATATGAAATGTGAGTTTTAGTGCCTTTTCAGCTGGTATTTTATAATTATACTGTACCAGGTTAAGAGACCTGATTTAAAGGGACATAAAAGTCAATTACAAGAAAAACAAACATTTTTATATACAGAGGCAAATCTCTCAACACAAAGGCAAAGGACATTTTTCAATTATGTAAGGCAGGTGAGCCCAGAAATAATATTCATTCAAAGATAGTACTTCATATTCAATAATCCCATAAGCGAAATCAATGACTCAGTAAATAGAAAATTAAAGTTAGCCCTTAGGCCTTTGACAATTTATTTGCCAAGGCCTTTTGTGAATTCTACTTAATGCTCTAAATTAGCCACTATTTCTCAGAACAATGCACCAGAAGAATATGAACCTTAACAGATGCATGCTGTTTTCAATTTATCTCGCACAAAAAAGTTATTCTCAGGGCATACTTAAGATTTATAATAAATTGAGTGCCTACTATATGCAAGGCACTGTGCTGGATGCTGAAAATGTGGTGGTGACAGCATTCCTTGTCATTATCTATGCAATATCAGCCTGTTGAATAACAGAACATTCAACCAGACTAGCATATACTTAGACCAATATGCCAAAAGTGTCCAACTTAAGTGACTCAAAAGAGGAAATGGTAAATATAATAAGAATTTTAATTGTTTTCCCTGGAGCTTAGTCACATCTGATCAGAGTGTTTAATGCCTTTTATATCAACTCTGGATTTCAGCAGATGGGGAAGACTGACCACCATCCCTCTTTTGACAGAACGTAAGTATTCAGCCAAATGTAGCTCATTATTAATACTATTAAAGAGAAGTTATTCTCTGGCTTTTAAAGGGAAGACAGGAATGCTAAAAATGTTTTCCTGCAGGTGAGGGTCAATTTTTAAAGGCTCCAACTCTGCTTGCTTTGCTGATAAAGTTCTTCAGAAGATCATGGTCCATTTCTGCAAAGCCTGAAGTTTGTGTTACTACAGTCAAATGGTTTACACAAAACCTGAAGCAGAATTCTTCCAAATCCTAGGAACAACAAAAAAATATTTTAACAAATTCATATTTTCCAATGTAATACAACGTAGAATGAAAACACACAATCAAGGAAAAAGGATTTGATAGCCAATAGGAAGACATATTGGTATGGCAATACCTAAAGAATAGTTATAAAACTATAGTGCTAATATGAAGCTATGGTTGTAAAAATGTAAATGACAGAGTAAAACATTCAGGTTCCTCCACACCAGCCAATACCAGAAATAGGCACCTACATGTCTGAATTCTGTACCTTTCACAGTGAGAGTACTAGTATTACTAGTATTTGTACTGTTGGTTCCACTTTCAGTATTTGTTAAAAGTATGACACCCCTAGGGCAGAGGTGGGGAGCATCTGGCCCACAGGCCATATAAGGCCCACAAAATCATTTGGTCTGGCCCTGCCAAGGCATTAGGAGTGAGTTCATTAAATGTTTAACCAAATATAGCAGGTTAATTTTTAAGTTGATAATTTTGTATGGCCTGCCAATGATGTTATAAATATGTAAATGGCCCTTGGCAAAAAAAAAAAAAAGAAGGTTCCCCACCCTTTTGTTTATTGTCTATATTATTTTGAATATAATACAAAGGGAATATAAAAGAGGAGTGTCATACTTTTAACAAATTCTGAAAGATGGGATGGTTGTTCCATCAGACCCTGATTACCTTCAGTAATCTTAACTGGGAAAATGAAATCATGACTTTCTCCTAAAAGAAATTCCTCAGATTGGTGTTTCTGCCTTACTATAATTCACTCTGGGCCAAAGAATAGTCCTGTAGTACTTCTCTTGATCAGATTTGTAAACTCGAGACAGAATGAAGGTGGCTGGATGCGTTTTTGGCCCCAGACAAATTAGAGCTAGAGGCCTGCTGGCGGAGACTCCAGTTGCCTTTGACCCTGGGCTATGCTGCTGTCTTGACCCAGGACAAGGTGCTGCCAGGTAGAAGTCAACCCAAAAGTTTCTGCTGTATTAGCTGAAACTGATTTATTTAAAAAGCCCAAAATAATGTCCAAGCAGTCACATATACACATTACATATATAAATTACAGCAGATGCTAGAGATGAAAACACAGGCAAAAAATCACAGTAGTAATAGCCATGCCAATCAAATTCACAGTATCTTTTAAGTAAAGAAACAAACTACATGAAGAAAGTCTATCCATTTCACCCCAAACAGCTACGTAAGCTGCTAGGGTCATAGTGGCAATATGACATCTCAAGTCCTTGGTAAGCCCTAAGTGATAGAACAGCCAAAAATACACACACACACTCAATATCAGAACATGTGACTATACATAAAAATGTGCTTCATTAATATATAGTGAATATACCAACATCCATTTGAAATTATGGACTCTTGCTTAAATTTTTAGAAGTGACATTTTTGCCTATAGCACACTGAAATGAAGCAAAACAGCAAATACACTGTTCTTTATGAAAACCTGTATTTTATGTATACATATGGTCTACTTTACTGATGTCTCTTATGTAATGTAGGTACAACAATTAGTTAGATGGGCTACAGTAAAATACAGTGTCTCTATAGGCTAAGTTGAAATTCACTAAATAAACATTTCTTCTTTTTTTTTTTAATATATTTTATTGATCTTTTACAGAGAGGAAGGGAGAGGGATAGAGAGTTAGAAACACCAATGAGAGAGAAACATCGATCAGCTGCCTCCTGCACACTCCCCCACTGGGGATGTGCCCGCAACCAAGGTACATGCCCTTGACTGGAATCAAACCTGGGACCCTTGAGTCTGCAGGCCAATGCTCTATCCACTGAGCCAAACCGGTTAGGGCAGAAACAAACATTTCTTGATATGTGTCAGGCACTATCCTAAGCACTAAGGATTTGGTTGTGAGTAAAGCAAAGTCCTTGCCATTCTTCAAGGAGCTTACTTATTAGAAAACAGAGAGCTGGAAGGTTAACCATACAAATAAGTCACATAAGTAAGGAATATGAAAAAGTCCTGGAAATTAAGCCTAGTTCAGATGAAAACACTATACTACATCTACCAAACTGCCATCCGAGGTAGCTCACCAGAGTCCAGTATTATCACCATGACTTTAACGAACTACAAAAAGCACATTGATTTTTTTATTTTTTGCCAGAAAGCATTTTGCATGTTGTAAGTGCCCAATAAAGCATTACCTGGATGCAAGACAAACGTCCACTATGCTTTTAAATGTCAATGTTTCTAGCTGGGTGAGACTTTTTAAAACATTAAGTAAAAAAAAAACAACAACTAGTATTTAGAAATATATACATAATGTAATCTAGGAAAAGATTAGAAGGAGCTGTGTGAAAATGTTATGTTCTTTGGTTAATGAATCATTTCCTTCCTTATTCTTTTTTTATTTTTCAAATTTTCTTTACTAAGCATATTATTATTTATATAAGCACACAAAAGGTTAAAACCTTTTCTTCCACCCACCACTAAAATGTCCCTGTTTTTTTTTAACCAAAGGAGAGGATATCCTTATAACAAAAGGAAATCAACTCCAAGAAGTATAGCCTGTTTCCTAAAGATTTAGCTCTAAGACAGGTTTTCTTTCCTTTCATTATCATTAAAACAATACATGGTCACTGCACAAAGTTCAAAAAAAAAAACAAAGATAAGGAAATGAAAATCATCCATAATTCCACCATCTAAAGATAACCACTGACTATATTTTTCAGTCTTTTTTCTTCGTAGATAATGGGAATAAAAGCAGTCTTAGTCTTTTTAAATTCAGCTATTTATACTTTTAAAAAAATGAAAATGGGACCATAGTTTTTCATATTATTAATATTCTATATAGTTTATACAATTCTCTAGGGTTCACATTGACTTTTTCTAATTTTTCAAAATTATAAAGAATACTGCAATAAACATCTTTTAAGTTAATCTTTATCCAAATCCATGATTACTTCCTTAAGACAATTTATGTGAATTTCTTAAAGAATTAGATCTTTAGAGTTTTTAATACATATAATACCAAACTGTGCCCCAGAATGATTGTATCAGTTTGCACTTTCATCAGCAGTTTAGGAGGACAGCCATTGTTCTGAGCTGTAGTATTTCTAAAAATATATTCCCTGGTGTGACAAACGTTTTTATTTATATTTTTCATTTGTTCATAAATCTATATGGTTCATTTGTTCAGTCAAATCACTCATATTATCTTTTTTATTTTTAAGAACTATACATTATGGTAAGCTTCCTTTATCATATGTTGCAAAAAATTTCCCAGCGTATTATTTACTTTTTAATTTTCCTTGTATTTTTTGGTGCATAAGCATCTTTTTTTTTTTTTTAAATCAAATCCATCAATCCTTCCTGCCTTTGAGGTCCACCCTAACGTTATATAGTCACTAATATTTCTTCTGATATTTTATTGTTTACATTAAGTATTTAACCTACTTAATGTAAAGATATGAAGTAGACCTGTTTTTTTCCCAGAAGGAAAGCGAACTGAAAAAATGCTTTTCTTACCTGAGCATCGTACTTCACAGCAGCAGAGAGCAGAGCAATGGCGTTCTCCTCACAGATGCCTTGCTTGATAGTTTGCTGGCAGAGCTTTTTCAAACGATTTTCTCTATAAAATGTAGCCAAATCTAGCAATCCTGGTGGAAAGAGATGTTTATGTAGGGGGAGTGACCAAGCACCCTAATTTAAACTCACTCAACCGTTAAGATTTTTTTTGGACATTATTTTGAATATAATCCTTAGTGAAGGCTGTATAGATAGCTTGTGCTCATACACTCTGAGCAGGTGGCTTTCCCTAAAACATGGCTGAACTGAGAAAATACAATAGAAAACAAGCAGCCATGGAAAATAAGAGCAGTGAACAAGGCTTTAATATGTTTCCTAGAAATGCCCCTCTAATTATCTGTCCGCCTGCATTACCAATGTCTGCTCTGGGGTCATTTCCATCAGCATACATACATGCTATAATGGCGCTCATCTCTTTAAAAAGGAAAAGAAAAACCTGTCATGGGGACATGTCTGCCTCTCATCACCCTACCCCATTTCTCTGCTCCTCTCTACAGCAAACCTCCGGGGGAAAGTCCTCTGCTTGCTGCCTCCATTTTCTGAGCTCCCATTCTCATCTCAAGCCATTCCAGGCATAATTCCAGCCCTTCCACTCCTGACATCACACCTGGGATTGTCACTAAAGGCTGCCACAATGCCAAGTCCAAGGCTGTTCTCCAGTTTCATTTTACTCAAGAATGACACAAAATTTCCTGTGGCTGATGATCATCCCTTTCTTGAAATGCTTTGTTACTTGCTTGTGTTTTTCTTCTTTTTAATTAGTTACTCTTAAGTCTCTTGGCTAGACCATTTTTCCTGACTTTCAAATGTTTGAGTGCCCCAGGGTTCAATCCTCATATTCTTATTTCACTTATTCCCCTAGTCAGTGGTCGCCAACCTTTCGGATCTCGCGGACCACCAGCTGGCAACCACTGCCCCTAAGTGATCCCAGCCCGGAGGTTTCAAATGCCATTACTTGTTATCTACCCCATAGGACACTATGAAGCACTCCAGTCAGGAATGGCCAGTTAGCATTTGAAAGACCCTTGTCAGGAGTTTCAGATACTTCCTAAATCTTCAGAGAGAGCTAGAGATACTTTGTTATTGGTGACATGAGTAGTGTTCAGGATGTGTGGCTTGGCTCTAAATATCGTGAGCGCCCTTTTGCCTTTGCATGAATGGCATTCAAGCATCATGAGCTTAAGTAGTCCTATCCCTGTGGAGTGGTACATTCGCTAGGTCTACATCCAGTCCTAGGCTGGTCAAAAGGTTAGCTAAACCCTGCTACCAGAGTATTGTTACATCTACTTCAAGCTAACCTTCCAAGCAAGCTACTTTATAGAGGGCCTAATGGACAGATAGCAGGGATTTCATCAATCTCACAACATTTACTGCTCTTGTTTGTGTCTGCTACTGAGTTTTGTAAGTGTGTAAGAATTTGGTCAGAAACTTGCTTTCATTGTAAAATGACACACATTATCAGAGTTATGAAAGAAAAGCCTGTGGTCCGTTGGAGGATGCTGAAACCATAAGAGTTGTGAATGGCTCAGTGGTTTCTAGTCAGTTTTCAACAACTCCCAAACTCATACCAACAGCCCTGTGTACTCCCCAGCTTCAGACTCACCTTGACCCAGACCCTTCCTCCTTAAGATTCTGGGCATTTGCCCTTCACCCCTTTGTCACTGTCCCTCCATCCTGTTACCTGTAATGCAAATGCGGTCTTGGACCATGAGCATAGGGGCCACATATAGCAATGCCCTGCCCTGTATCCCCGTGTGAGAGAGAAAGATACTATCTTGTTTAAGCCACTCCCCCCCCCAATTTTACTGTCAGAATTAAAGCAAATCCTAAATAACACAACCCTATGCTCAAAACCTCACACCAAGAAAAAAAAAAAAAAGCTCCTCGCCATGGCCTTCATGGTTAGGTATGATCTTGCCCAGCTCTCAACTCCTTAAATCCTCCCAGGATAAGTCTTGCTCAGTCCATTCCAATCACCCTGGCCTTCCCCCTCCTCTTCCACATGCTAACTTTGTTCCTGTCTTAGACTTTTGCACTTACTGTTACCCATGCTTAGAGTGCTCTTCCTTGGGTATCTGCATGGCCCACTCGTGACTCCCCAGGGCTCTGCTCAATGCACTTCCCAATGGAGGCTTCTCTGACCCTCCTGACTGACTGCTCGCATTTATTGCTTAGGGCTGGCCTCCCTCATCTGAGTACAAGCCCCTCAGGGGCAGGGCCTCAGTCTGTCTCTGCACAGATGCCCAAAGGAGCTGCAGCACACAGTGGGCATGGGCACTAAAACATTGTGCAAGAAAGGAAGGAAACTGTAAAACTTCAGAAATCAGACTTTTGTTTACCTGAGTAAAATTACATGCTAATCCGGTAAAAAAAAATGTTATATTGACATGTATAAACATGTCAAATGAATGTTTAAAAATTTGGGGATTGAACTCTTTCTTTAGTTCCTGCCAGCTGTAAACTGAAACTTAGTATGTATTGAACTCTGCATCCATGGGGTACCCTGTGTTGCTTTTTTAATGTCAGGTGAACACATCTGTCTCAAAGCCATCTGAGATGGAAATTCACAGATACAGAGACCAGCAGGGCTTATGATGTGGATTTTATCTGTTTTATAATGAAAACATCTTGAGGGCAATAGATATGACACCTAAAAGTTATGTACAATACTAACATATGGTAATTAAGAGTGGTACCCGCTGCACAGTGATGATAATTCATCTATCTCTTCTTTTATCTATTCAGTCAACTTCTGAATGATTAGTAACAAGGGAAAAGAGTTTGGGTTCAACACACAAAAAGAGAACGCCTTCTGCGATTGCACTCACAGCGACATCCACTCAGGCTCCACAGAAATCACCTTGCCAAGTTACCCAGCACTTTGCCAATCTCTTGGTAAAGTCTAGTGGTAATTAATTACCTACTGCCTCCTCAGGGGGAAGGCTGATGCTGTCTGTGTACAGGTATTCCAGGAAGGCTCGGTAAACAGGATATGAAAATTCACTCATTTCTACGATATCATCCTCACTGTCATCCAATGAAGAACGAAAATGCTCGCACCTGAAGGAAGAAAAGCATGTCAGGTCCTAGCTCCTGGGCAAGAGCAGTTAACACCAGGAGCTCACCCCTGTGGGGCTTAAAGGGGAAGAACCTAACAAGGAGAAAGGAAACACATTACACATGACACTCGCCAAGTTGCACACTTTTATGTCCCTGCCCTGGCCCCTCACTTCCTCTGTGTCCAGTTTTCATTAATTTAACAAGGTTGCAAATGCAAACCTGCTGTGGGAGAGCTGCCCCTGCAGCCACACTGGATGGAGACAGTGCTGCCTCCCTGAAAGTACCACACCGTGTCCAGGGAGCAGCATTTATGGAAGTCGGGTGGGTTTATTTTCGTAACTGCTGAGTAATTTTGTTTCTTCACTTCCTGTTACGGTTTGAATTATCTCTCATAAAATTCATATGTTGAAGTCCTAACATCAGAATATAACAATATCTGAAGAAAGGGTCTTTACAGAGGTTAGTTACCAAGTTAAAATGAGGTCATTAGAGTGGACCCTAATCCAATATGACTGGTGTCCTTATGAAAAAGAGGGAATTTGGACACAGGTGTGTGCACACACAGGGAGGACGCCATGTGAAGACTGCATTTATGTTGCCACAAGCCAAGGAACGCCAAAGATTGCCAGAAATCACCAAAAGCCAGGAGACTGGTGGGCCAGATTCTCCTTCACAGCCCTCAGAAGGAACCCACCCTGTGAACCCCTTGATCGTGACTCCTAGCCTCCAGGGCTGTGAGAGGATAAGTTTATTGTTGAAGCCCAGTTTGTAGTACTTTGTTACAGTAGCCCTGGAAAACTAACACACACACACCCTTTACGAAGGTTTATGGACTATAATAAAAGTGAACAAATGTTGTACAGCCTGACCTTACTGAGAGGTGAACTTGAGACTAACACGCTATATTGAGCTTGTTATTTGTTGCACTGGGATTTAAGTATCTATTAGACAATAGGATGGTTTTCAAAATCATTATGTGAAAAGAAAGAAGCCAGGCACAGAAGAAAACGTGTAACTCCATTTATATAAACTTCTAGAAAATGCTAACTAATCTCTGTGAGAGAGGAAGATTACCTGCCCCAGAGCCCAGGGCACAAGGGATGTTTGAGGAGTGACAGAAACGTTCTCGATCTTGACTTGGGGTGATGCTTTCACAGGTGTATTCATATGTCAAAGCTCCTCAAATGTGCACATTAAATGGACTTTAAATGGATGTAACTCATTGGTCAAAATTTCTATCAGTATATTTGATTTTTTTAAAAATCTGTGTTAGCTCTACCCTGGGTCTGTTGCTCTGGAAAAGCCTTATCTTATCTTTTTTCAAGCCTCTAAAAGTTCCGTACCCCACAGCTGAGTGGGGAGAGTGATGTTCCCCGCCGGGCCCACCGCCTAGCGCGGAGGTTTACTTGTGTTGAAGCCGGCGGTGCTAACAGCTCACAACACTCACCGAGGGCAGCCGGCTGCTCCCTAAGCCAAGGGCCGTTTCTAGTCGTGCAAGGAAGCCGGAGAGCTCCTGGAGAAAGCTCCTGCCCTGAGCCACCGTGTGTGTGTGTTTGTGTGTGTGTGTGTGTGTGTGTGTGTGTGTGTGTGTGTGTGCGAGCTCCTGGAGAAAGCTCCTGCCCTGAGCCACCGTGTGTGTGTGTGTGTGTGTGTGTGTGTGTGTGTGTGCGAGCTCCTGGAGAAAGCTCCTGCCCTGAGCCACCGTGTGTGTGTGTGTGTGTGTGTGTGTGTGTGTGCGAGCTCCTGGAGAAAGCTCCGGCCCTGAGCCACCGTGTGTGTGTGTGTGTGTGTGTGTGTGTGTGTGTGTGAGCTGAGAGCTCCTGGAGAAAGCTCCCGCCCTGAGCCACCGTGTGTGTGTGTGTGTGTGTGTGTGTGTGTGTGTGTGAGCTGAGAGCTCCTGGAGAAAGCTCCGGCCCTGAGCCACCGTGTGTGTGTGTGTGTGTGTGTGTGTGTGTGTGTGTGTGTGTGAGCTGAGAGCTCCTGGAGACAGCTCCGGCCCTGAGCCACCGTGTGTGTGTTTGTGTGTGTGTGTGTGAGCTGAGAGCTCCTGGAGAAGATCTCCGGCCCTGAGCCGTGTGTGTGTGTGTGTGTGTGTGTGTGTGTGTGTGTGTGTGTGTAAGAGAGCTGAGAGCTCCTGGAGAAAGCTCCGGCCCTGAGCCACCGTGCGTGTGTGTGTGTGAGCTGAGAGCTCCTGGAGAAAGCTCCGGCCCTGAGCCACCGTGTGTGTGTGTGTGTGTGTGTGTGTGTGTGTGTGTGTGAGCTGAGAGCTCCTGGAGACAGCTCCGGCCCTGAGCCACCGTGTGTGTGTGTGTGTGTGTGTGTGTGTGTGTGTGTGTGAGCTGAGAGCTCCTGGAGAAAGCTCCGGCCCTGAGCCACCGTGTGTGTGTTTGTGTGTGTGTGTGTGTGTGTGTGTGTGTGTGTGTGTGTGAGCTGAGAGCTCCTGGAGAAGAGCTCCGGCCCTGAGCCACCGTGTGTGTGTTTGTGTGTGTGTGTGTGTGTGTGTGTGTGTGTGTGTGTGTGAGAGCTGAGAGCTCCTGGAGAAAGCTCCGGCCCTGAGCCACCGTGTGTGTGTTTGTGTGTGTGTGTGTGTGTGTGTGTGTGTGTGTGTGTGTGAGCTGAGAGCTCCTGGAGAAAGCTCCGGCCCTGAGCCACCGTGTGTGTGTTTGTGTGTGTGTGTGTGTGTGTGTGTGTGAGCTGAGAGCTCCTGGAGAAAGCTCCGGCCCTGAGCCACCGTGTGTGTGTTTGTGTGTGTGTGTGTGTGTGTGTGTGTGTGTGTGTGTGTGTGAGAGCTGAGAGCTCCTAGAGACAGCTCCGGCTCTGAGCCACCGTGTGTGTGTGTGTGTGTGTGTGTGTGAGCTGAGAGCTCCTGGAGAAAGCTCCGGCCCTGAGCCACCGTGTGTGTGTGTGTGTGTGTGTGTGTGTGTGTGTGTGTGTGTGAGCTGAGAGCTCCTGGAGAAAGCTCCGGCCCTGAGCCACCGGCGCTGCGCGGTCGCCTCTGGTAGTTCTTGTTTCGTGTATATGTGTTTCCCCGGCTGCACTGAAAGCCCCTAAGGGCAAAACCAGCCTCACATTTTCCCATAATTACTGAAGTACCTAGAGTAGTTCCTTGGCAAATAACAAATGTATTTACTTATTTAATTCTCAAAATAAGTGATTCCATACCTAATTTTGAGAAGGACTTTATGTGCATAAATGTACTTTCCATCCACCAGAAATCTCAGGTCTGCGGTGTTGGGGTTGTCAAATTCCCTCTTCAGAGACTCAGCCACTGTGAGGTGGTCGTCAGGTTCTAAGAGAATCACAACAGCAGTGTTTCTAGCATCAGCTACAGACATAATGAAGACGCAGGCTGTAGGACAGCATTGCTCTGCGGCGCAGACACCCGGGAAAACATCAGCTCTCTAAAATAACTGCGCAACTGAGCCATGCTTCTCCCCGAAATATGAACTCGCACCTCTGTAATCATTAAAGGTTAAAACCTCACACACATCTCTTTATAAATCTGGCAAAACAACTACAAAGTCCAAAACTATCTCACGAAATGAAATTTTTGAATATTTAAATAAACACACTAGCTAAAAAACAATTTCTCAGTCAAGTTAAAAAGTAGTCAAAAGTACTTTTAGTATGTAGTGTTTGTTTCTGATACTTTTAAGATAAATAAATCAATCAAACTAGTTTCTTTTCACAGGAGTCCATTAGAGGGAAATAAATGATATGATACTGCACTTAACTAAGTCTTTCCTATCAAAATAAAAGCACCATAGTTCTCTTCCTAGTTTTCAAGCATCACCCAAATGGACAGTGATCAGCTCACCCACAGAGAGGAGGCGCCAGGAGACGGCGGGAGTGGCAAAGCAGGCAAACACGTCGTCGGTGCAGGAGAGGTGGGTGAGGTGAGGCAGGACCACGGACTGGCCCCGGCACTGGCCCCACATGTACACGTGCCCTCCCTGGGTCTTGGCGGCAGATGTGTGGGCAGAGTGGCAGGCTGCAATTTCTATAATTCTAAATTCAAAAAAACAAGTAAACACAGTAAACAGAAGAAGAAATGACTTTATCTCATCCCCTTAGGTTTGATTTCAAAACAAAAAACAAAAAAAGTTACACACCTAATTTAGATTTTCAGGTAGTACAGGTATTTACATCGAAGCTATACTTCAATGCACTTATAACGCATGAAGACCTTATTACCACTTCTAGCCAGCAGGCTTATAAAAACATGTACCATCCCATTTTGAAATCCAGTACAATCCAAGAAAGTAAAGACAAAATAAGGAAGGGGAAAAAAGGTAATATAACTTTTTATTAAAATGTTACTCACTGAAGTAGATAATAAAGGCTAGAACCATCTTGACGCAGGTTCAGAAAGTATTTTCATCAAAACATCACCAATTTTAGAGTTAAACAGAACATGCTGTAAGTCACCGCAACTCACACTGCGAACAGCACATTCAGTAGTGAGACCTCACTGGACTGTGTCATCTAGAGACCAAGCGTGCAGTTTTCTGGGACCCACCTGTGTGAGACCCTGGTGCAATAGGCTCATGACTGCCAGGGAGGCAGTTCTCAGAACACTTCCTAATAGAAAACACTGTTTTTGTTTATTTGGAAGCAATTACTTTGCTCTAAGAACAAGCCACCATACAGATTCAAAGAAGACAGTAAACTATTTTACCCCAAGTGAGGCGGTCATCTCGGGTTTGCTGCGGCAGGCAATGGGATCAGCATCCTCCGTGACTCAGCTCAGAACCTCAGAGTCATCTTTGGCTTCTTCTCCCTCCTCACCTACCACTTCCTTCAGAATATCCACTTGACAGATAACATAGTCCCTTCGTAATTTCCCCCATCGGCCACCACCCTCAGTCAGACACACCCCACATCCGGACCAATGGAATAGTCTCCTAGGTCTCTCTGCCTTAGAACTTCTCTCTCCTCTGACCCAAATTGCACAACACTGGCAGGTTAATAATCTTCTTGAAACACCATTCTCACCAGTGATTTCCCACAAGATAAAACCCAGACAAGTGACATCAAGGCCTTCCATAATTTAGCTTTCACCCATGTCCAACCTTCTTTCAAATGAGTTTTGCCCACACACCCTATGTTCCAACAGAGGTACACACTGCCCCTCAGTGTCGGTATTCACAGTTCAAGTCCTTATTCAGGAATGTTCTTTCCTTTCTCTTTGCCTCAGAAAGCCTACCCATCCTTTAAGGTCCAGTTCAAACAGCCAGGAGGCAAGAGGTCTCTCGCTCACCTAAGCTCTTGCAGTACCGCCTGTCCACACCAGCCGGCCTGACCCAGTTACCTTTTAGGTGGATATGTCTTAGTTAGATTACAAGTTCCTGCCAGGTTGATTCACTGGCTTACTTCTCTCTCCCTAAGCACCCAGTACGTGTCTTACTAAATATAATTTGTAGATCATTTTATTGACTAATTGGGAAAGAGTCAACAACACAGAACAACTGAAGATTGGATAAGCCCACACTGGCCCAGGCTAGCAATTGAAGGGTGGAGATATTCCTCCACTGTGTGCTTTAACTAGAGGTTCCCCAGTCCAGGAGGATGGTCCTCGCACAATCTGGAGATTGCTGTGGCGGCTTCCTCAGAAGGCTGAGAAATATTCTTTTCATGTGCAGCCCAAGTAATTCCCCTGATTTATTAGAAGGTAGCTCTCAGCTCTTGAAGACAACCCAAGTACTGGAGGAAATGAGGCTGTATGTCGCAGAGTGGGGAGCCTGGATGTGGAGGTAGGTTTGAATGCTAGCTTTACCATGAGGCTGTGTGACTGGGAATGTCCCTGAGATCTACGAGTCTGTTTCATCACATTGCAAGGCCAGTATTGCGAATTAAGTGAGAAAACATTAGGCCCAGGGGGTGGAGTGGGGTGGAGGGGATCGATGAGGGAAAAAAGGGGGATATCTGTAATACTTTCAACAATAAAGATAATTTTTTTAAAGAAAAACATTAAGCCCCAAGCGCGATGACTGGTGTACAAACGTAGCCTAACAGTAGAGGTTTCTCATTATTACTACTTCTACTCAGCATTTTAAGTGCCAAAGCCTCATGTGTGTAGAGAATGTGTATTTCTAATGGTCAATTCAAATTAGTAAGGCCTTTCCTATTTACATAGTTAAGTTAGTCAAATTGGCTCAAATCGAACCTCGCCTACATGGGGAAAATGGTCAATACTATTTTGCTTCTCAATAAGGATTTTTTTTTCCAAAAAATAAAGAAAAAGGGCAAATACATTAAATACATTTATTCAAAGAAAGTGAATTTACTACTACCATCCATCTACCCTCATGTTACAACTACATATGAGAGGAGCAATAATTCACTTAAAATGGCTTGGTGCAGCAGGCAAAACATGGGCTGGAAGTCAGAGGCCAAGTACTTAAACTCTTATAATCCATTTTATCATCTTAAAAAAGAGAAGTGGAGGCTTGGTGGTGAAGATAAATGAAGTAATCTACCATCCCAGTGCACATTCAAAAATGGTTCTTCTCAGAAGTAGCAGTTGCTTCAAGCACAATGGGGTCTGCCTGGAAGAGCTCATGGCTTAGCTGAAGAGAGAAGGAGCGCATCTGTGAAACTGCAAACAGTTCCCAGATAACATCATAGCACTGCCTACAAGTGCTCTGGTGAGTAAGGGGAAATACCTGGGGTCTTCTCAGGCCGTCTTTACAGTAAAAGGGGGTAAGAAATACATGGACAAATGTGTAGGCATAGGGTGAAGAAGGTTCAACATTAAGAGGTCCTACCCGGCAGAGACAAGCAACTTTGGGGGGAAGAGAGCAATGACATTTGCTAGGAACAATCTTAGAACCAAGGCTGAAGGGTTTAGATTTAATCTGATGTGATAGACAAGTGGGAAACAGCTGTGTAAACAGAGCCATGATAGGATGAAACCGAGTTCTTAAATTACTCTGGCAACAGTGTGCAGGATAGGCTGAAAGGGAGAGGAAGAATAGCCTAGAAGGTGAGCTGGGAAAGGCTGACGGATATGCAGATGTCATGTCCCAGCATGGCGCCAAGGAAGAACCCGGGTGGCCTTTGATATTGTGGGAGTTCAGGGCAAGTCACCCCAAGATGAGCTTCTATGGTATGCAGATTGTTTTGAGCTAAAGGCCACTTTAGCCATGGGTTCAAGAGAAATTTCTGCCCCTCCCTGAACTACCTAGAATAACTTGAATTAGGAGTCTTTTTTAATTGAGATTTAGAGAGAGGAAAGTAGAAGAGGAGAGAGACATGGATGTGGCAGCGGAACATTGACCAACTGCCTCCTGCACACCCCCTATTAGGGATCAAGCCCGCACCCTAGCATGTGCCCTGACCGGGAATTGAACCAGCAACCTTTCGGAGCACAGGAGGATGCACTGGCCAGAGCAGAGATAACCTCTTTTGATCTACCTATAGGGCAGGACAGACTTCTATTTACTAAACGTCTGCTCTTCTTATCATCCCGCAATGACCCTTTGAAGCCCCCAAAGCACCTTACCTCATCCTAGCTCAGGGATGTCTCATATACCCATGTTCCCTTCTGTCTCTGAACCTCGCATGTATGTGAATTCTCTGACTGTCTCAGTAGGCGGGGTCCCCATACATATGTATGTATTAAATTTGGTTATTTTCTCTTGCCAATCTGTCTCATGTCTATTTGGTTACTATACCAGCCAGAAGAACCCTGAGAGCAGAGGAACGTTTGCTCCTGCCAGATAGTATCCATGAGAGGAAGCAGAGGCCTGAGTCTAAGAAAACACCAACCTGGCAGTGTGGAGGGAGGGGACCCAGTGCTGGTCAGATGGCAGGATGGGGGCTCAACATACAGATAGCTGAGCAGTTAACAAAAGAAAAAGGCCTTCTACATTTTAACTACTTTAGTTATAAAGCAATCCGGTGATCTCTGGGAGAAGGGGAGGTTAGAACAGCCCAACACTGTTTAGATAAATATTAACTACTCTGTTCTCATCATATGTAATCACTTCCACAATGACCTACTCAGTAAAGACTTTTAGATTTTTTTGAGTATCTTTTGTGTACTTTGGGGAAACTCTTAAAATGATAGCCTTCCTTTTCCATGATAATGTTCTATGAAAAATGTAACTGGTTGAAACACAAAGAGTGTCCATCAACGCTAAACTACCCACCACAGAAAACCAAAATTCCTACATTCACTTCTGAAATGTTTACTATTAGCCTCACAAACAGGGAGCAGCCTTTGCCGTTACAGGAGGTGGAAACACTGCTTTTTGCAGAAGGGCTGGTATAGAGACAGCAAAGGGGTTGGGATGCGGAAGGATGAGGAGCTGGCCTTTCCTAAGCACTGCCTGGTGACATTCCCCTGAACTCCTAGAGACACAAGGGAAGTCCAGGGTGGGGCACAGGCATGGCTGACACTGCAGCTGCTACAGGAAGGAGCGGGGAGAAAGTTTAGAGGGAACCTTCAAGTCCAGGTTTGGGACCAAAGCCACTGCCTAGGCACCTCGCCTTTGCCTGAGGTCGTCTGTTCTGATACCTGATTCATATCAAGAAGCAAATTTTCCTAAACCACAGAACACAGACTGCAAATGTTATCAACTTCCTCTTAAGAATGTAAAACAGAAAACAATGAGGAGGGCAGGAAAAGGTCAGTTGTGAGGAGAAGAATGCAGAATATTTGTTGGAGGTTTAGTCATTGTAGTTTGTATAGAGTAACTATTGGAGGTATCGATGAAATATGGCTAAGGGAAATAGAATATTTGACATAAGTTAAATTCTCCAACAATCCAAAGCCAATTTTAAAAAGGAATGAATGAATGCTCATGTTAAAGATATTCTAATACTAGCAGCAAATTCCCCACAATTCTGTATTATGTCTAAGTTTTGTTTAATCACTAAGGAACATTGAGGTTATTTTGAAAATGCACATATTACCTGTCCTTTTCCACAACAACAGGAGTAGGATAGGACTGGTTACTTTTATTGCCAGTGCCCAACTGGCCATAAGAATTTGCACCCCAAGCATATACTTGGCCTTCATCTGTTAATACTAATGTGTGTGCGTAGCCACAGGCAACCTGAAAGAGAAAAACCAAATCCACTCAAGCCTGCAAATAGAGAGAAATATGCTTTCACAGAATAGGTTAAGAATCAAAAAAAAAAAAAAAGAGAGAAGAGGCAGCCTCCAAGAGAGCAAGCATTAAGTTAACCAATCTCTCCATCTCTCCAGAGCCAGCTTAGTTCCCATTCGGCCAAAATTACAGTAAGCTCACCCTGAGTCCTTTAGTGACATGAGGCCAGTATTTACCTTCAATGTGGCATTCATTATGCTCACAGAGACCAAGGGGGTGAAGTTAATAAGCAACAGACACTTTCACTTTTTAAGAAGAATTTTCTTCTTTTTTTATAAAAGTTAACATGTTCAATGTGAAAAAGTATAAGTATGAAAGTAATCTCAATCTTGACATTTTCTTGAGTTATATAAAAATATGCAGATAGCTTTTTTAAATGATCGTATTGTATAAGCAGTTCTTTATCTTTTTTTACTTAACATTATATAGAGTACTATTCCTAAATCATAAAAACCCCTTGTAAACATATCTTCCCCACTAATTCTGTAAGTGACTTTTCTCTTTGGTTCCTCAGAATGGAGTAGAGTTAGAGATCAAAGGGTCTGAATATTTTTAAGCCTCTTGATATATACTTTCAAAATTTCCTTGGAAAAGATTTTAACAATTTATATTCCAACAGCTGTGTAAGAGAGTGCCCTAGAAATTTAAATCTTCTAATGAATAACTATAACTTAATTCAAGGAAATAGAGCTTAAACCTTTACTTCAATGAAGATATCCAAGCAGCTAAACTTTTCATCCTGCTATAGAAACTGTTTTTAATACATTCGTATCTTTGCCACTAAAGACTTAAAAACCAATAGAAGACATACCCGCTGGACACGAACACCTTGCAAAGCTAGTCTACAGGGGGTTGACTGGTTGCCACTACTGCCAAGTCCGAGCTGCCCATTTCCATTGTAACCCCAGACATAAACCTGAGAGAAAATGAGAGACTCAATGCAAACAAAAGACAGAAAGTTCTCTGTGTGAGAAACATGCCATGTGGGTATGACACTGAAAAGGCAAACAGTTTTCTTAAGTGAAACATGAAATAACCTTCTTACCTCCCCATTGTCCACCACCGCCATGGAGCACATCTGCCCACATGCTATGTTCACAACTACTTTATTCTGTAAGCCGCTAGTGACTCTTCGAGGGATCGGCTGATTAGCTGTTGATCCAGATCCTACCTGCCCAGAGTTATTATAACCCCAGGCAAATACCTATTGGAACGAAGAGAACAATTAATGCAATATACTAATTTATAAAGTATCCCAATTATACACTAACATATTTGTATGGCACCTCATCTTTGCTCTCAAAGTGGTTGCTATCCATAAACTGTCACAACACAGGCAAGGAAGTTTTGGTAAAATTCATTCTTTCAAAATGTATTAATTTATAAAATTAGGTTATTGGTGTTATCTATACAAACAGTAGTAATTATTACCAAGTATCATATAATATTTATAATAATATCTACTTTGCACCAGCCATCTTTTCCAGCATTTGGAAATTTTTCTTTTTGTAAATAACCCCTTTGAATATAGCAATATAGAATTTTGCAGTAATAGACATTTTTATTGCATGAAGGTAAAAAATAATATAAACACCGTGACTATGAGTTGCTAACAAGAATAAAACTAAATTTGAGGGAGGTGGTCATTTTAATCAAATGATCATCCTTCTAGGATTGCTACAGGAATCTATATAATTTTACTGAAAAAAAAAATCAATGACATTTATGCTAACTATTCTTACTTCTCCATCAGATGTTAGCACCAAAGAATGGTAAGACCCACAGGCAACTTCAATCACTTGTTTGTTGGACAAATTAGTAGAGATATGACAGGGCACCAAACCATGATTAGTTGTCCCATTGCCCAGCTGGCTATAAGCATTATGACCCCAGGTAAAGACTTCTCCTTCTGAAAAAATAAAAACAAAACACAAACATAATTAGCTTTCAAAATATCTGCTTCATCATATGAAAATACATAGTGCACTTCTACAAGTGAAACTAAAAATTAAGTTGCAAAAGCGAATCAACTTCCCTATTCCACCAAACTCATTCTGTAAAAATATACATTTGAAAATATAAACTACATTCTACTTCAAAGCAACAAGATGAAATTGAAATAAATGCAATTATAATAGCTGGAAGATAGGTTCTTAATAAATGGCAGAAAAAAGGCTGCTTTCAATAGAGTAAATAGAAAAAAAAACATTAGATTGAAAATAAAAAAATTTAACTTCCTTATCTATAAAATGAACACCAAGTTATTTTTAATTTTTGTTATTATATCACTTATTGCACAATATAATACACATTCATAAACATTCATAAAATATATATGCACAATTTCATAAATAATTATAAAACACACATACCCATGTGCTACCATTCAGGTGAGAAAATATAACCTTTGGTCACTCCCAAAGCCCCCCACATATAAATCCTGAATAACAAAATTGTTTGTCCTGTTTTTAAACTTTAAAGAAATGGAATCATACAGTATATACTTGTTTCATCTATATTTTATACCATATTGTCTCTTTGTGCTATATTCCAGATAATTATTTCTGTTCTATCTTCCAGTCTATTAATTTTGTCTTTTGCTGTGTCCAAACTGCATCTTAAATTGTCTACTTAGTTTTTCATTTGGATAATTATACTGTACATCTAGTTCTTTTTCAAATCTTTTATGATCTCTGCAGGTATCTTAGAGATCATTTTTTATTCTTTCAAACAATAAATACAGCCATCTTATCACTGGTATCTGGTAATTCTAATATCTGATATTTAGTAGTCAGTTTTTGCTGGCTTTTTTGCTGGTTCTCCTTCATGCTGCCTGTTTCCTTATGTACCTTGTTGCCTTTGACTATGTGCTGCTAATTGCGATTGGAAAATTATTTTTCAATGGCATCATACTCCCTCAGGCCCAGAATGAAGGTGCCTTCCTAAAGAAAGGATTTACATCAACTTCAGAAGGTACTTAAAGGTATCTCTTTAATAAATTCAAGACAAGATTTCTTGGACCATCCAGTCTGATGTGAATACAAATCTATGATTACAATCTCTCAGGGAGAGGTTTTCTTTCTTTTTTTTCCTTCCTAATTTGCTCAGAGCCAAGGAATTCTTTAGTTCGGTCCTGTAAGATGGAAGAACTGGCTCATCCTTGCCCTGAGAGTGTAGCCCTCTGTGGTCTCAGCCTAATGTGCTGACTTATGACCCCTTCACCTCATGAATACGTTAGACCACAACTCCATTCAAGGGGACAGGCAGATGTCTTTAAGGCCAAATTGGCTTCAAGTTCCCCTCTGACTTCTTAGTTCACACTTTCTCCTAAATCTGATCTAATAATTCCTTTTTGCCTTGTCAGTGCTTTGATGCCTCATGAAAAATATTTTTAATATTTTTAATAGTTGTTTTCAGTGAAGAAATTATCTAAATAATTTAGCCTGCTATTACTGGCAACCAATTAATCCCTAAAGGTTATTTTTTAAAAATGTGAAATAAGCACATAAAAGAATAGAAAATTTATTTTCGGTTCAAAGAATACAAAATGAATACCTAGCTTAAGAAAAACTCTAACTTATGTTTTAATTATAATGTCTTATTAGTCTGAATTCATGAAATAGCCACGAGAATACTTAATTCCTTATATTACTAACTACAGTCATCAGTCACTAACATAAGAATCACAGAATGCTAAGAGTTGGAGGGGATGCTGGAATCTGGCTTTAGTCTTTCAGTTCATAGATCAGGAATCTCAAATTCAAAGTCTAGAGCAGTGGTTCTCAACTTTCTGGCCCTTTAAATACAGTTCCTCATGTTGTGACCCAACCATAAAATTATTTTCGTTGCTACTTCATAACTGTAATGTTGCTACTGTTATGAATCGTAATGTAAATATCTGATATGCAGGATGGTCTTAGGCAACCCCTGTGAAAGGGTCGTTCGATCACCAAAGGGATCGCGACCCACTGGTTGAGAACCGCTGGTCTAGAGTGGGTTCACCATTTTAATGCAAAATAATTATACTTGTAAAGTGTAAACAAAAGGGGCTTACTGGGCTTAACACACTGCCATTCTTATATCTAAAGTGCCAATAATTGCTAGATTCCATCTGCTACATTACTTTACTCTGATATTCAGACATGTTCATATTTTATGTTGTCCAAAGCATAGTCAAGTTCACAAGGCAGACCAGAAACTCTTGTCTAATCAAAAAGTATGTTCTCTGTTTAGGGGATGGTCCTACTCTTTTTTCTCAATAAATAAAGCAAGGGCTAAAATTCTACAGTGTGTTCCTAGGTTACCTGTTGTTGCAAGAACAATATGTGGACCACTCCCATAGCTGAGGCAGGCTATCTTTTTGCCACTTAAAGAATCCAGTCTCCGAGGTTCAATGGTGCTCTGGACATCACCTAAGCCCAAACAGCCACAGCAGTTTGTGCCAAGTACAAACACCTGTGGGGAAAACCACTGTTAGTTAAAGCAGTTCTACTTCTGACAAACCTACAATTACCTTCATACAGGCATTGTCCTCCTAAAACAAAACTGCTTTATTATATAATAAATACGAATCTACTCTCTGTACTTTTTTTTTTAACCTTAATTCCTTAGTTCCCCCAAGGTCTTCAGTCTAGCAAATTTATTTCTGAAAATAGAAGTGGTTGAATTTTTTCTTCAAAATTACCTCATCATTTACTGTAGTATATAAAACTTCATTGCCAGCACTTCCAAAGACACAGGCCTGACGAATTAACTGCAGTTCTTCCTCAGAACAAAGGGAGAAAATTGGCCACTTCCCCACATCTAACATCTTCAGAGATGACGGAGTGGCCTGTACTGGTTGAAAAGGAAAAAATATATATATATTGAGACTATTCGTTTAAAAATTAAATTTCTTTGCCCCTTTCATTTCTGTAGAAGAGCAGGCCTGGTTTCATGAGGAACAAGTTCTTTCTATTTTTGAGAGGCTCTCACTGCTGTGGAAATTGCCTGTACAAGCTCAGGTACTTCAGTACTGCTCTCACTGCAGCGAGAGCCAGAAGCTCTGGACAGAATCAGATGTCACCTACTAATTTTCGTCAAGGACATGGGTATGCTGAGCGAGCACAGCCAAGGGTTCACAAGCCTGAGTGAGGGCAGCGAATGGATGAAGAAATGACAGAGAGAATAAGCCAGGTCTAGGTGGATCTTCCTGTGCCTGGCTGAGGCCACAGAGAGAGATCCAGAGGCAAGCTGAGCCTTTATTTTATAGCCAGAGGTAAACAAGGTATTCAGTCACCATAGTTACAATGATCTTGTGAGTTTCACTTGTTTTGGCAGCACTTTCTACACCTCCCACAGCCCATTAGCTACCTAGGAAGGATCTAGAGAGCGTCATAAGGTCAAGCCTAATTATGCTAAGAAGACTGTGCCCTCTAAGCTGGGACTTGTTTGTGGTTTTGCTAACAGGTCAGCCCTGAGGCTTAACCCTATAGCCACTCCCTACATCTCACCCTTTTTTTATTTTTATTTAAGCTACTATAATGAAAGTAAAACTTAAGCAACAAGAACAAAACTCTGGCTATTAAAACAATAACAAAACAATGCCAATGCAAAACCCAAACTACAGACATGTTAACATTTTAAAAGTTAAACATAAAGCTCTGGCTATTAACAAAACAATGCCAATGTGTTAACATTTTTAAAACTAGTAAGAATAACAAAACAATGCCAATGCAGAACAGCAATAAGTGAGTTTCTGCTAAATGAGAGTTTCTTTTGCTGATTTACTCAGAGTCCTCGGACTTGGCTGCACAAGACTTTGCAGAAGACTGGCAGCTAACCAATGCTAGCATAGCCAGAAACATGATTGAGGGAGTGGCTTCCACATCTTGTTTTTCTACCATCTTCTGGGCCTCAGTTGTTCACTTCTTCAGCTGACCCCATGTTGGCACTTCAGTCCCTTGCATAGCCTTCCTTTTCTTCTTTTTTCCACTTTGCTGTCATCAGGGCAACTCTCAGTCTTTTGAATGATGGGACAAGGAGCTTCTCTGGGTCCACTGTGGTAATGCATTTAACGCTCTGGTACTCAAACTGGCTGCACTGCTCTTTCTGGAAAGATACAAACACAACCTCTTCCCCACATCATTACTGAATCTGGTAAAACTCTTGTCAGGAGGCCCGATGCCTTTCGGCCACTGTACAACCCTCTGCATTGTAATTCAAAAAATTTTAACACATCACATTCTTCAATTTAACACACAACATTCTTCTCCCCCCCCTTTTTTGTTTTCATGGTTTCATTTTAAGAGTAGGATTGGCTCTTTCTGCTATTGTCGGAGTCCTGATCTATCACCTCAGGAAGAACTTGTCAATCCTGCGCTTCCCAGGGTGGCATGATAAAGGTTTACTGAGCCGGCTGGAAAGGCTGCAGTGGGGTTAAGGATAAGGACTCTACTGTCTGGTGGGACCTGAAGTTTCCCTGCCTAAGGGGTATTAAATTATCATCAACATCAGTCATTTACCCAATTGCTTTCCTCTCCTGCATCCTGAACATAGTCCAGGCTGCTTGTTTCCACTCCCTGTAGCCCTTTGACTTTCATTTCCAGCTGCTTGTTTAGGGGGTAAAAGGAGAGGCTTATGAGCAACAGTGAGCTCTCCAAACGTTTACACCAAACCCCCATCATCCCAAACCTGCCGGCGCTGTTCCTTTGCTTCCTCCAATCCTCGCTCATATTTGGGAGGAAGCTCATTGTCCGGAGGGCTCTCTTCCACAGGAGCTGCAGCCCCAGGGACTGGAGGAGGCAGCAGAGGCGCCGATGGTGCAGGTGGAGTCGGAAGCCTCTGGTAGCCTTCCCCCATCTGTTGATTCCCCTGCCACATTCATCCACTCCCTTTCTGGAGTGGGCTCTAGGCAGTCCCGAATCAGGGACCACAGACTGAAAGCAGAGGCAGGCATTTCCTCTGGACCTTCAGCTATATAATGATCTTTAAGTTGTTTTCCTACCTTCTCCCATGCCTCTATATTTACCTTTCCTTCCTCAGAAAACCATGGGCAAATTTTACTCACAAAACCCAACAACTCGAAAAGCTGTCCATACCTCACAGAATAGCCCCGTGCTTGGAGCATAGCCTTAAGATGGATACGTATAAATTCTTTTCCTGTGATCCTGAATTCCCATGTTTTACACCTAGTTACAGCACTGAACTTCGCTCCTTACCTTCCTTCTTGTTTTCTGCACGTGCTGCACTGGAGCGTTCTTTCACCTGACAACTGAAGTTCCCCCGAACTCAGGCCCCGCATTGGGTGCCACATGTGCCAAGCCAGCTCAGCCAAGGGTTCGAAAGCCTGAGTGAGGGCAGCGAAAGGATGAAGAAATGACAAAGAGAATAAGCTGGGTCTAGGACAGGTGGATCTTCCTGTGCCTGGCTGAGGAAGCAAGTTGAGCCTTTATTTTATAGCCAGAGGTAAACAAGGTATTCGGTCACCAGAGTTACAATGATCTTGTGAGTTTCACTTGTTTTGACGGCACTTGCTACATCTCCCACAGCCCATTAGCTTCCCAGATAAGATCTAGGGAGGGTCATGAGGTCAAGCCTAATTATGCTAAGAGGACTGTGCCCTCTAAGCTGGGACTTGTTTGTGGCTTTGCCAACAGGTCAGTGTGAGGCTTAACCCTATAGCTGTGCCCTACACACGGGAATCATCCAAAGCCAAACGTCGGGAGCTGAATGTCTAGCCATCACTTTAAGTGTTGGCTGTGTCTTAAAGACAGCTCTGGAAGCTAGGCTGGTTGTAAAAGCAGGAGGGTAAGGGGGAGAGGTAGGACTGCTATTTCATTAGCTGCCCAAGTCTTAACAAAACAAGTCCTTAGAAAAGAACAACACTGAAAGTGATACCAAGGAAACGGTCCAGGAATTTCAGGTCAGGGGCCAGTTCTGACCTTCAGTTTAAACAGCTGGTGGGTTCCCTCATCCCCCACTCAGGTTTGGGTATTGGTAGGAAGAAACACTCAGAAAGTGTATGTATTCATTTGCTAGGGCTACTATAACAAAGCACCACAAATGGAGTGACTTGACAACAGAAATTTATTTCTCACAGTTCTGGAGGCTGGGAAGTCCAAGAGCAAGACACCAGCACAGTCATGTTCCTGGTTCATTGCTGGTGGTTCTCAGGTGGTGGAAGGTGCTGGGGATCTCTCTAGAGCCCCTTCTAGAAAGGCACTAATCTCAATCATGAGTGTTCCACCCGTGACTTAAGCACCTCCCACTTCTTAATACCATCACCTTTGGAGGTTAGGATTTCAACATATGAATTGGGGTGGCAGGGCAACAACAGTGATACCTTCTGAGAAATGCATTGTTAGGCAATTTTGTCGTCATGTGAACATCATAGAGTGCACTTAGACAAACCTGGGTGCTATGTACCTAGGCTATATAGTATATATATATATATATATATAGTATAGCCCAGTCATCGGCAAACTCATTAGTCAACAGAGCCAAATATCAACAGTACTTCTTCAAAATAGACTCGCCCAGGCCGAAAACCGACTTCTGCGCATGGGCCACAAAGTTTCAATCTCACTGTACGCGCGCTCGCACGTGGTATTTTATGGAAGAGCCACGCTCAAGGGGCCAAAGAGCCACATGTGGCTCGTGAGCCGCAGTTTGCTGACCATGGGTATAGCCTATTGCTCCTAGGCTGCAAGCCTGTATGCATGTTATGTACTAAATACTGTAGGCAATTGTAATGCATTGCACTACAGTGTTACAATGTCACTAGGCAACAGGAATTTTTGAGGTCCATTATAATCTTACTAAAGGCCAGGTGCATGAAAACTTGTGCACTAGGGGGGTCCCTCAGCCCAGCCTACCCTCTCTCACACTCCAGGAGCCCTCAGGGGGTGTCCTACTGATAGCATAGGCCACAGTCTGGCCTCCCTCTTTGGGAAGCGACCACCTATCAGGGGAAGGCGCCACCACTGCTGCTGCCACTGCCGGCCACCTCGGCTGCAAGGTCTGAGCCCCGGGCCTAGCAACCACCAGGGCTCACAGCTGCCTGAGCCCATGGCTGCCTGAGCCCACGGCTGCCTGAGCCCATGGCTGCCTGAGCCCACAGCTGCCTGAGTCCCGGGCCTTGCAGCCACTACCATGGCTGCCTGCCCTCAGCCCTCACCAACACCACCATGGCTGCCTGCCTTCGGCCCTCGCAGCCACTGCAGCTTTGTCAGGAAGGACATCCAGAAGACATCCGCTCTAATTAGCATATTGCCCTTTTATTAGTATAGATAAGACCACCATCCTTATGTGAACTTTCATTGACCAAAAAACATGGTTATGTGGCACATGACTGTAAACTCAAAACAGCACACGTTTAGTTCCTGAGCATCTGCACTCATGATGAGAAAAGAGCATTCAAGGTGGACACTATAAAGCTATTTTGAAGGGAGCTTTTATTGATTTGCTATACTGAAAACACTTTTACTTATGTACTTATCAAATTTCAATATTTTTGTAGATTACAATAAGATGCTAAAAAGCCAATATGCCTATCAAATGATATGTTTGGCCATTTCCCTCAATAATCATCATACTCTTGTCCTGGCGGGTTGCTCCGTTGGTTGGAGCATAAAAAGGTTGTGGGTTCAATTCCTGGTCAGGGTGCATACCTAGGTTGTGGGTTCAACCTGAATGAGGTGCATACAGGAGGCAACTGGTCAATGTTCCTCTCTCTCTCTCTCTCTCTGACCCTCTCCCCTTTCTCTCTCTCTCTCTCTTTCTCTCTCTCTCTTTCTCAAATCAATAAACATATCCTCAGGTAAGGATTAAAAATCCTATATAATAAAGCGGTAATATGCAAATTGACCATCACACCCTCACACAAGATGGCCGGCAGGAGAGGGCAGTTGGGAGCGACCGGGCCTGCAGGGGAGGGCAGTTGGGGGCAACTGGGCTGGCAGGGCAGCAGTTAGACATCAATCAGGCTGGCAGGGGAGTGGTTAGGGGGTGATCAGGCAGTCAGGCTGAAGCGGTTAGGGGCAATCAGGCAGGCAGCCAGGCAAGCGGTTGGGAGCCAGCAGTCCCGGATTGTGAGAGGGATGTCTGACTGCTGGTTTAGGCCTGATCCCTGTGGGGGATAATAATCCCCCAAGGGGTCCCAGATTGGAGAGAGTGCAGGCTGGGCTGAGGGACACCCCCCCACACACACACACACCCAGTACACGAATTTCGTGCACCAGGCCTCTAGTAAATAATAAATAATCATCATACTCTTTATGGGTTTAAAGGAGCAAGGGATTTTCTTAGGCCTGTCTTTCCCATCAGCTATCAAGTCAACTTTACTAGAAATGAGTTCTGGTAGAAAGATGATGACGTTAGATACTTATTTTCTACAGACCTGAAAGGATATTTGTCCCTTCCACCCTTAGGAAACATGGCCTTGCTGACATCTTGGTTCTAGACTTCTAGCCTCCAGGACTAGGAGCAGATAAATTTCTGTTATTTTAAGCCCCCCAGTTTGTGGTCCTTTGTTAGGGCACCCTTAGGAAAATAATACAGAGGCAAAGCAGCTTGTCACTGCTAACAGAATCACCCTGAGTTAGTGGCAGAGCCTGAACCAGGGCACACTCCCCTGATGCCTAATCCAACCACTTAACTTCACCATGCCACTTGAACTGTGAGACCCTGTCCCAAGAATGATGTCGTCTATTATGTTTTGGGCAGCACCCAAGGTCACTTTAGAGCTAAGGACAGAATCTAAGCTTCTGCTTTAAATCATCCACATCTACAAAGAACCTAATTTTCTATGAGGTCCTTATTTTAATATTTTTCCTACTTAACTCTAGAAATTTCAAAAAGAACAATGTTTTGGATATGACATCAAATATTTAATGAAGATATATTATGTGCTAGTTAAGAGTCCTTACATATTATTTCTAATCTTCTCAATTGTAGGACATAGATATTGCTATCCTTGTTTTACATATAAAAAAACTGAGGCCCAAAGAGATTAAGTAATCCTCCAAGATCACTAGCTCCTAATGGATGAGCTCAGATTTCTTTCCACACATGATCTCTTGCTGAGTAAGACGTTCACATAAAAAGTTGTATTACTGGTAGACCTAGTGCTTGCTTGTATCTGCAGAGCTTTGGCTGTTGTTCACACAAAGTCCTTATGAGCAGGGCAGTGATACCCATTGTGTGTTGTTGTCATGCACAAACAGGGCAGATGGCAATATACGAGAAAACACGCAGCAATATAATGACTGATTGCTACCTAATTTTTCCCTTTCAAGCAGGCTTTTGGATTTCAACCTGTTCTGCTATAAAATCAAGTGGTTTCTTAGATGCCTAGAATCAGGTTGCAAATTCAACTAGCAACTAAACATGAGCCCACCTCTACAAGACCTATAGTACCCAGCTCATAACTCTGCTGACCACTGGGATTCCAGTGTGTTTGTAATGTCACCTGCAGCCATACATCTGTGAAAGGACACTTCTGGCCAAGAGAACACTGGCTCTGACAGTATCATTGAACATTTATTGAGTGTCCAATATTAAAGGTATAAAAATGCGACATAATCACTCCCTTCAAGGAGCTCACAATTTAATAGAAAACAAATAACTACAATATAACCTAAGTAAAACAGAAGTGTGAATATACTGGTTTTTAAATCTGTCAGAGGCTAGCTGCTGAAGTTAGTCATCAAAAGTTCATTTTTTGTTGTTTGTATGTAAAATCATACAATAATTAAAGAATTACGAAACAAGAATAAACTGTTTCATGTACTCACAACTGTAAACCTACTTTTGCCCCACCCTGCATAATAAAAGTATATATTAGTACAAGAATTCACACAAGCACCCTATAGGAGCCTCAATCATGCTGCAACCACCTGCAAGATGGGAACCATCTCCATAGAAGGCACCCAACTGCCTCTGTGCCCAACTGTTAGGTCAGGGACTGGCTGACCAAGAGCCAAGAGTGGGCAACAGAAAAATATGTATAGGGGGAAAGGCGCTATCAAGGAATGAGAGCTCTGCTTTACTGCTTTGTTCACATCCAGTCCACCTCCCCCATCTTTCGCTGGCGTCTGTTTGGGAAATGCAAAGTAGCAAAGTTATAATTAGCTCAAGGAAAACATAATTAAGGAAATAGAGCTCCATAAAGTTAGAAACCAAAATGCATTTTATTATTCCTTTGAGTGTGTGTTACATGTGTAATTGTTTTTCCATCAATGAGAACCAAGTCTATTATGATACTTCACTTAACTACAAACAATTATTAAGTTGTCATAATTCAACTTAAAATACAGCATATGGAAAAGAATTAAAATTACATGTTGGACTTCCTAGCAAAAAAAAAAAAAGAAAACCAGCCAACACCTTGCCCTTTGAAGATTTCCTGGCAGTATAACACTTTATATGTAATAACGTAATTTCATTGCTAATTTTTGAGTCCATTTTTTATTTTATAAAATCTGTCTCCAAAGAAAAGTCAGGAATTTTCCTATTAACATTTTGTA